ATTCCTGCTCTCTCCTAGCATTCCTTGTTTCTTTCTTCCATTCCCCTCACCTCGCTGCATTTTTGGTTTGCTCTTCTTTTAATTTTGCTGGTCTTTGTCTCTTCCTCTGTGCGAGGCTCACTTTGAAGTAATCAGAAGCTCCTGTCGTGCAGTTCACCCTTGCCTAGGGCTGCTCGTAGCTGGCTGCTTCCTTCACTCTGTGGTCTTCAGACAAGGAAGTCCTCTTGTCATCTGGAATTGAACACAACCTTAATTTTGGGCTTCCATCCGGGTGTTTGTATTGGCTGTTTCAGTTGTATGGGTTGATGCACCTCAGCTTCATGACTGTGGAAGGAGTTGTGGGGGGTTTGGGGACTGCGGTAAACAGAGCAGCAGCTTCTGCTTCACAGTTTTTGAGTTCCTAGGGAGAGAACATTTCCACCCCTAGTCAAGCCTCCTGTTTTGCCATTTGGCTTGCTCTCTTATAGTTGAGGGGATTACTGTGCCTTGTTTTACATCTTTTGCCAGAATTTGCTCTTGCTTGGGAAGGAGCAGAGCCAGCACTCAACTGATTTCTGGCATTCGTCTTTCTTCTTATTCCTCGCAGGAAAAAAAAATGCAGGAGAAGCTGGAATTTGAGCGGCGCCTGAACGTGGGGCAAAGAGAACATGCTCTGCTTGTGCAGCAGATCAACAGTCAGAAGGATGAGATACTGCAGACAGTGAGAGAGGTAGGTCTACTCTGGGCAAGCCCTGTATGAGACACTGCGTTTTGTAAACTGGCCACGTTCTCCTTTGGTTCTCTCTTGCTGTGGCCTAGGACCAGATGAGGCTGGAGAAGGGTCTGACAAAGCACCAGCGCTATTTGGAAGACGAGCGCCAGAAGCTGCTGCAGCAGCTGAAGCAAGCGGAGCAGGGCATTGCCAGCCGTATCCAGAAGCTGCTGGAGGACAACCAGAGGTAGAGTCCCAGGGTGTCTTGCAGTGATCTCCGTCCCTCAAGAGCACGTGTTACTTTGCCCCATTCTGAGTGGTTTATTTTACCCTTTCTGAGTGTTAGGGCACTGGTCAGGATCAGTGTTGCTAGGCGGTGCCTTAGTTGTTGAACTGCCAAAGTCCCATTTAACGGCAGTGGAATTTGGCACCTGAAAAAATTGCTTCGCACATATGCGTGCTCTTGCAGTTTTGCAGTGCTGGGGAAAAAAATTGAATTCCTCATGGAAGGTGCATATTTGAACACTGGTTCTTAGGTACCTGCTGCATCTGCTGCTGGGCTGGTGCTGACGTGAGGTTACCAGCCTGCTTAAGGCTGCTCTTCTATACATGAGAAGCAAAGTTGTTTTCTGCCCTCTGGGGGAGTAGGATGTCCTCCTCGGCTTGATGAAACCTCTTGTTTTATTTCTTTTTAGGCAAAAACAAAGTTCAGACATTCTGAAATCCCTGGAGAATGAGAGGTGAGTCTCCTTGAAATAAGCTCTTCTGGAAAAGGGGCAAGAATCTGGGAAGAGGGCTGGGACCTTCCTTTCAGAGCCTCCAGTCTGAAGCCACCTAAAGTCAGGAGAAGTTCATCTCATACATGGTTCTGGTCACTGCTGGAGGCAAGGCACTGGGCTAGATGTACCTGGTCTTACCCAGTCTGGCAAACCCAAAGGGATGCTGATTTTACCTCTTTTTAGTCTCTGAATGGCCCTAGCTAAGGTGTTTGGGAGCAAACCCTTGTATTCCACAAGGACCAGCGGAAATCCTACGTCTGTTGGGAAGCTAGACATTTATGAAGATGGTCCAGAAATGTGTACAGGCTGTGTACACTGAGAGCAATGCTGCCTCTCAGCCAACACTTTGAGCTGGCTTTGCCACGGAAAGTGGTTGTCCCCAGCCCTCCCCTGCCTGTATGCTGCCCCCTTTCTTCAGCCAACTGTTTGGGCTGTGGCACAGTAAACTGGATGGGGGGCTGACCTGCCTGAAAAATAGTCCCTTTGTATGTCTCATAGTTTTCCACCCACACCGGTTCCTGAGCTGTTAAGTGGCATCGTGTGTGTATTTGTGCTGGGATTGGGACAGGGGAGGTGGGGATGGAGGCCAGGCTGCTGCTGTCAGCGGCACTGCTCACGTAGGTCAGCTTTAAAGTGCTCGTCAAGGCTCAGGAGAAAAGAAAACAAGAAAAGGGACTGGCACTGTGTTTGATGAGAGTGTATGCACGTTGCATAGGTGTTCTGTTTCTCAGAAAGATCAGCTTTCCAGTCTAGGAAGCAATTGTCCCTGTGGTTATGAGCGAAATTTATGTTGTCTCCCATAGACTTAGAGGTTCCTTACCTGGAAGAAACGGATATTTTTGTTTCTGACAAGCACATGGCTTCTGTGGGCAGGTGGCAGGGTGATCTGCCCAGCCTTTGGGCTCTGCGCTGGGTGGATGGAGGAGAAGCGAGACAGTGCCTGTTTGAAGGAGCGGTGGCTGAATTGTTCTTGTTTGTTTGGCAGAATCAGGATGGAACAGCTGATGGCAATAACACAGGAGGAGACGGAGCATCTACGCAGAAGGGAAGTGGCCTGTAAGTCCAGACAACTCTGTGGGGTGGTAAAGTGCAAGAAGGACCTGGTTCCTCTGGAGATGCGCTGAATAGGTGACAGCCACGTGGCAGATGGTCAGTCATGCACACATACTTGCTGTGTTGCTTGGGGTGGTGGGGCAGAGCTGCAGGGCGTAGCATCGTGCGCGTACTGTGGATTATTCACTGCTTCCACTGTCAGCTCGCTGCCGGTTCTCCCTGAGGTGCGAGCTCTGCTCCTGTGTAGCTGCAGCGTGCTGCACAAGGAGTTTGTGAGCCTGGATATAAGCACACAAAGTGCTTCGTGTTTCAGAGGTGCCAAACGTGTTAAATGATATCAGGTTCATGAGGCAGGAGGCCCAGGGCAAACAAGAATGGTATTAGGGAGCCTGTTCTGCTCACGATGACCGTGAACAGATCTGCTGGGGCTGCAAGGGAAGCGGGGTGTGTGTTGTCACCCCGAGGATGGGTTACTCGCAGTGGGACGGGCAGAGCTCCAGCGTGTCTGAGGGTCAGTAGACAGTGACCGGGCTCCTCTGAGCACTGAAGAGATGCAAGCACAGGCAGAGTGGCATTTGCTTGGCTAATTTCCCAAGAAATAACTACGATTCTTGCAGCTGAATGATTCTGCTCTGAAATGAATGAAATGGAGGAAAAAAGGGCAGGTTGGAACTGAGAGAGAAGGCACTGTTAATTGCAAGTGATTGTAGCAGCAGTGGTAGGCGAGCGCCTGTTCTAGACACCCTTCTGACGCGGACTGACAGCACTTCTGTCTCCTAGCTGCCATGCAGCAAATGCTGGCTGAGACCTACAAGAACAAGCTCATCCAAATGACCTACGAGTCTCGTCGGCAAGACCTTGTCAACCAGGCCTGCTCCAGGTACCGTGGGAGATCTCTGGGGCTCGTGGTACTGTTGTAAAGTCCCCGTGTGATTCCCGTACTTGCACCCAGGAACCCCTGCAGCTGCTGGAGTGCAGCAGGACAGCTGCGTAAGGGCAGGTGACAACGCGATTTAGAGAAACTGATTAAAGGAACTGCCTTCTAACCACAAAAATACACGTTAATCATACTTTGGATGAACTGTCACTTTTTTACACTGTTTATTTTACTTTATAAATTTTGCTAAATACAGAGGATGAAATTAGAGTGGTCATCTTCATCTTTCATTAGCCTGTTCAGTGCCAAGCTCTAGCTCTGGCTCCTTTCCTCACCTCCCAGGGTTGTCTCAAGGATGCTGTTTGTATATACGTAGGACTGGTTGCATTGCTGTAAGTACGGAGAGCATTCTGCCTCTCTTTATTTACAAGAAGGTGAGATATTTTGAGCTGGCAGCATCTGGCACTGAACAGAAACAACCTTGTGTGCCTGTGACCTGCCCCAGCAGAGCGCAGTGGGCAGACGTGGTCCTGCCTGCAAGTGCGGTGTCCGGTCCTGCCTCTGGTAGGACCTGCCTCTGCTCTGGCCTGGTCTGTGGTGCAGGTTTGGTTTGGTGCAGGGAAGGAGGTCTTAGAGCTGTCAGCCTTCAGTTACCCTTGTCCAGTAACAAATTTCTCCATTCCTGGATTCCCTGTTGCCCACTTTTCCTCTTGTTTGCATCAAGAGTCTCAGGCCCAGCAGTAACTCCATGACAGATCCATCTTCTTGCAGCCTAGCTGAGATGGACCAGAAGTTCCAGCAAATCCTGGCTTGGCAACAGCTGGATCAGAACAAGGCTGTCAGCCAGATCTTGCAGCAGGTAGGCGAGGGAGCAAACTGCTTGCGGGGGGGTCGAGGGAAGGCAGCCGCTTGGGAAAGCAGGAGTGAGGATGGATCACAGGAGCAACAGGGCTGGGCTGTGCGCAGAAGTTATTTTATAGGACGCCGTGCTAAACTTTGAGAATCTCTGGTGTTCTAATGAACTGACTTGGGTGGTTGAAAGAAAAGTATATTTATTTTTTAACTAGACAGCAAATTTTCAGAAAGAACAGCAGCACAGACCATGGGAAGCAAAACTGGTCTGACGATTAATAGAGAGGGTTTGGAGACAGAAGTCCTGTCTTTTTGGTGGGTTTCCTGGGTGACCTGGGGCAAGCTGCCCACAGGAAGCGTTTTCAAAGCCTCTGCTCCTATTGAATACCTCATTTTGAACCTGAGACCTCTGCAGCTCGTGTTTCAGAAGTGCTGGGCAGCCATGGGCAGCCTGAGTGCTCAGTGCTGCTGAAGATGAGAGGTGGGGTTCATGCAGAGCATTTAATATGTGTGTTTGAGAAACATGAATATATCTTCTGTGTCTGTCTGTGAAGTGGGTTTTACCCTTTGGGACTGTGGGATCTAGGTCATGCAGTGATGAGGACACTGTTGTGCAGAGTAAGCACTGTTCTGGTCCTTGTAAATGAGTCACTGCAGGGTAACAGGGTTTCTTAGCCTGTTTACAGCTGCATCAGCCACCTCATTTTCAGCAGCATTTTGCCTGTCCCTTAGATTGAGATGCAGAAAGCTGCCTTTGAAGCTCTCCAAGTGAAGAAGGATCTTATGCACAGGCAGATCAGGAACCAGGTGAGTCGGCAACAGAGGAAAGAGCCACCAGCTATGCAGCTCACACTGCCCTTCGATGAGGCACTTGTGAGGAAGATCAGAGCGCTGTGAGCACAGAGCAGGGTCTGGAGGAAAGGAAGAGCTCTTGTGTTGCTAAGAGCTCTGTAACAAAGCGTTGGGCAGTGCTGGTTAAGCTGCAGGCTCCCAGCTCCATAGGAGGGAGTGTCAGTGCAGGTTTTAGATTCGTGGAAGTAGTGGAATTGCCATTGCTTCTGTCTTCTCAGCACCAGCGTGGATGAAGTGCTAGAGAGTGGTCACCAGAGGACAGACCTGCGTTGGCTCTGTGGGGGTGATCTGCAATTGCAACTGCAATTTCCTGCGGGTTGTGTCCTTAGCAGGGCTGCTGTTTCCACATGAGTCCACTGCATCTCCATCCAGCACATCAGAACTGCACCTTGAGCCATAAGTTCACCTTTTCTTTCCCATTCTCAGCCTGCCTTTCTGAGCTCCATTCTGCAGTAGGTGCAATGCGATAGTTGGGGGGAAGAGCAAGAGCTGGTGGAGAAAAGAGTGGTGGTTGATGCACCAAGATGGGAAAGTAGCGGGGGTTGATGCGCAAAGATGGGTGGCTGGTGTCTCACACGCTGCCCCAGAATCTTGCCTCTCCTGACCTGACACTAGCAGAAAAGTGGTGGATAAGCTTGAGAGCTTGGATGTATGGAGTTGCTCAGTGACAAATCTCTGCTAGAAGCCTATGGATTGTGCATGGGCAATCCAGGAGATGAGTCTAGCAACTCTCCGTTGCTTGAGTTCATCAATAAGAGCCCTGCAGTTTGCTGACACTTGCTCTGTAAACAAAGGGATTTTGTTCCTTGATACCACGGCTGGACCTTTTGCTGCTGAAATCCAGCCCAGCCCACCAGCATCCCGCACAGGCAGCGAAGGGGCGGGAGCCCCGATGTTGGCAGGAATTCCATGGTCAGCGGCACACACTAGGCAGCGTGGCCTGGGGATGGTAGGTGGCCTGGCAGATAGGTGAGCTGGGCTCTCATCTTGGCTTTGCTGTGGATCTTGGGCAACTCACTTCACCTCTCTGTGTCTCAGTTGCCCCACCTGGCAGAGCACGTGTCGTTACGGGAGATGCTGGAGCATGTAGAAACCAGGGCCCTGCCCCGGCTCATCGGCAGTTTGAGCGGTGGTGCTAGGAGGACTTCGACAGTCGGTTGCTGCCTTCCAGAGCGGCTGCACAGCCTGGTTGCAATGTGCTTCTAGACTTGAACAGAAGGTGTTTAGAGTAGAGAGACAGTTAGAGAGCTGGGGACGCAGCTCCTCGGGCAAAAGACGAAGAGCGACCTGGAGAGCATGCATCACGGAAGGGCATGAGCAGGTTCCTCAAACTTCAGGGCGGCTCTGCAGTGCCGTCCCTCCCAGGGCAGCAGTTAGACCAGTTAGCATTTTAAAAGAGCATAAATTAAAGTCATTTCAAATGTCAGTAAAAAATGTTTCATCTTCTGTTTAGATTAAATTAATAGAAACAGAGTTATTGCAGTTGACACAGCTGGAGTTAAAGAGGCAAGAACTGGACACAGAGACGCTGCAGGTATGTAGGGCTCTGGGGCTGCCCCACCACCCTCTCTGCTCTGGGATCGCAAAAGCTCCACTTGCTTCTTTTGCTCCTTGCAGTTTCCAGATGGTTTTATGCTTAGTCAGAAGGGTGCTTACCCACAGGACACCACAAAACCCTCTTTGTCGTGGTAACATGGGGACATTGCTGCTGCTCCTCAGTATCTCATTCTCCTCAGTGCATTGTCAGGGGAGAGACAGACGAGCTGGCCCTGACGGCAACGGGCAGTTCCAGGTCTGCTGGGTGGGGAAGGACTTTGCGATCCAGCTGTTGGCTGTCCCAGGAACACCTGCCTGCCGCGCATCGCATGTCTTCTTACATTGTCGTGTTGTGTTTTGGTTTTAAATACCTGCCAGTGATGACTGTCAGCTCTCCCCCCTCGTTTCTAAGCCTCATCTCCCAGGCTGCTCTGCCCCACCATCCCACCATTCGATGGGCTGACTTCATCAGCGGTCGCATGTGGAGGAATATCAAGTTTGGCTTGAGCAGCTTGGCTTTAATTTTTGTTATTACGCCTTTGCATCAGTTGTGTTCTTTGTGTGTGCTGTTTGCCAGACTAGGTCACCTGTTTAGTGAGCCTGAAATCAGCAGCAAATGCCATATGCTTTCCAAGAGTAGTGATCCAGCAGGCTGGCAAGTGCTGACTTAAGACAGGATTGCCTCTCAGCCCTGTGCTGGACACCTTGAAGTGTAAGATTTGGGTTACACTACCTTAACTCAGGGAGCTCCTGCGTATAACACTGCAGTGTGGGAGGCCTGATGGTGGGGGACCCCAAGCCCAAGGAACCCCAGGCAGATGTGGTTCAGATGACCCAGGACTTGGGTGACTCCTGTTAGGTGACCGTGGGAGCTCCAGAGGAGTGCAGAGAATGGGGCTCTGCCCTGGCACCCGTCTGCAGCCCGGCAGGCAGCACAGCGCTTTTGCAGCTTCAGCGCTGGACACTGGGAAGCGAGGTGTGACATGGCTTCATCCCTCTGGGTACCTCCAGGCGTTCAGCCGTCTGCAGCCCGAGGGTCCCCTGCTGCCACTGAAACCCCGGAGCACGGGCAGGGCTTTGGCAGAAGCTTTTCTGCAGTTGTGCTTGGTGCCTCCCGTGCAGCAGGCAGTTGGTTCCTCCCCCAGTATGCGGGTGCTTTAGTAATGACCTTGGTGAACCACTGGAAAGCGAGAATAGCCAGAAGCCCCCTGAGAACGGGAGCTGTTTGCACAGATCTCTTGCAAGGTCGGTGTGGGAGAGCGTGGTCCCGGCGGGGTGCCGCAGTGCGGGTGGGCAGGAAAGCTCATCTCGAGGGTAGCTGAAGCTGCCTGGGCTTCCCGTCTGGAGCAGCTCCCACATGTCGTCAGTTGTCCCCCTCACCTCCACAGAGGTCCTGACGCAGCAGAGCTTGCCTCGCTCCGTCAGGGCAAAGCATCTCTGATCAGCTGATGGTGGGTTGGCCTGTGAGGGGCAGGCGTTCCTGTCTCCTGCCTAAACAGAGGACCTTGTCCCTGCGTAGGCTGCAGATGTGAATCAATGAAGGTTTCCCCACAGTTTTTCTTTAGGAGGTCAGCCCTTTAACAACATCTTGCCCCCTTGTCCGTGGACATCTGAAGTCCTTGTGGCCGATGACTACTGGCCTCTGCTCAGTTCATAGTGTTCCCAGCAGGTATGAGCTAGCTGGGACTGAGCCGTGCAGAGATGCCACGTGGTCTGAGGTTCCTGAGTCAGTTAACCTCTCCTCATGTCCTGGTGGTGTGGCTGCGGTGATGGCTTACCTTGCCCTGGTGCCCGGTGGTGCTGGGTGTGAGACCCTGATGAAAGCAAGCTTCCCGAAGGCATGGGAGGTCGCTGCCTTACCCGTCCTGCATACCTGCGGGCTTCTAGACCTAGCTTCAGGTGGTCTTCCTCAGTTGAGGAGGGGGACCACGAACACTTGTAATGCCGTTGACTGAACTTCTGACGGAGTGGTGAAGAGCTGCTGCGGGCCAGCGCCGTCTGGGGCTGCCTGGGGTGTGCTGGGGGTTGGCACCGCCAGGTAATGGTCAGTGTGGGACCAAAATAAATGGGTTCAGCTTGGGCCTGCCGTGCCAGCTGCTAGGAGGGAGTGCAGGCTGTCTGCTCAGCCGGGCCGAGGGCCCGTGGAGCACGGGGCGCCCGCGTCTGCTGTGACCGCGTTGCATATGGTAAGTGCTTTGCTGGAAGTCGGGGCAGGGTGGCTGCTGGCGGCTGCATGGCGTGGAGGTGTGGATGCCAGAGTCCTTCTGTTGCAGGGCGTGATCACAGAGCAACGCCAAGCACTCGGCTCCTTGCGGCAGCAGCTGCTCAAAGAAAAGAAGCAAAGGGAAGAAGAACTGCAACAAATCCTGGTAACGAAGGCCTCTAATTAAGTGCTGTGGCTGAGGAAGAGGGGGCTGGCTGCAGGGAGTGAGTCTGTGGGTCAGCACGGGAACAAAGGGGAGCAGAGGAGGGCTCCGAGGGGCTGTGGCCAGATCCAGAGACTACTTTAACTTCAGAAAGTGCTAATGTAAGCTCTCAGGGGCACAGTTCGTGCTGGTCCCCGGTGCAGCATGAGGCACCATCATCATCGTCAGTCTCCCCAGTCAGGGAAGGGAGTTGTAGGGGGAGGATGAGCACAATCCCACAAGGACCCTGCATGTGGTCTCATAATCCTGAAGCCCTCGAGACTTTCCTGAGCTTCAGGAGACCAGGCTCCAGCATCTGGGGCAAAGTGAGTGGAGGGGATGCACAGCCCTAGACTGGCTGTGTGTGGGTCAAAGTGGGACCGGCCTGCGGAAGGCCAGAAGTGCCCCCCCTGCCATAGCTGTGCCCATCTCAGTGCTCTGAACTGGCCCTGCACAGCCCACGCCGTTGGTTTCCCCCTGCACGTCCAGCTCAAGCTTCCCTAAATACCACTTGCGACGTTATCTTGGGCTGTTGAATCAGTGAGTTTTTGTTTTTCAGCTGGAAATGGAGGCAAAGAGCGAAACCAAACAGGAGAACTACTGGCTGATCCAGTACCAGC